ACTGCAGTGAACTTTGAATAGAAATTCATACCTTGCCAATAAGCTGGCTTATTGCAATGGGAAGACTCTCAAAGATAGAAACTGTCACATGACACAGGGTGAAAGAGAACCCAACAGAAAGATGCAAGGATGTTTTTGTGATTAAGGTGTTAGAACAAGACTTGCACTAAATACCATGTTGTTTCTGAACATGGACAAGTCTCTTAGGCTTAAATCCTGGTCTCACTGAAGTTTAAAGGAAAACTTCCTTTTATAGGTGATGGAAAAAAAGGTCTTTAAAACACAACTCATTTTACATGTGTTGACATAATAAGGGTCAATAAGAAGGTTAAAAGATGCACATTTTTTTACTTAGTTGTTGTGGTTTTAAAGCAACAACTAAAAAATTACTAGAAAACTTACTTATTTCTTGCTGTGAGATATAGATTAGAACAAGAGCAAAACAGGCTTAAAACTTAAAAGGAATAAAGAAAGTTTATTAGCAAAACTACAAGAATAAGAACACCAGAATAAACCTCCAGAAAACCCCTTTATCTCCCACTACCCAATCATTTCCTTGTTCACATGACAACATAGAGACAAAAAAACTCTGGAACTTTGGTGTTTAAAACAGTCCCAATTCCTGCTAGACTCTTTTCATCAGCCTTTGTAGAGAAACAGAAGTCTTCTTCTGCTAATCTATGGAGCTTCTCACAAGAAAACTATTTCTGTTATAGTTTTCTATTTCTCTGATGCCAGCTGCACGGAAATCTGTCATCAGTTCACTCCTCCCATTTCACATCACTCTGAGGTGTGTATGGGCCATGAGTCCAGGGATGTCATTTTTAAGGATGAGTTATTCAAAGGCAAACGTTCTCTTCATCTGTCTCTGTGAGCTTCTCTGGAAACAGAAGTTTTCTCTTTGCCTCTACAACGGCCCCAAATCTTCAACTATTGTTTCTCCCCACTCTGTTCCAGAACTTCACTGTATCACAATTACTCCACCTTTTGCTCAAAATCCACACTTTGAACACTCCATTCCTCCCAATATACTCTGTCATGAATTAAAGGAGTTTTTTCAGAACACTATTGTCTATCTCCATAGCTTTAACAGAAAAATATTTCAGCTTATAAAGCATCTCCTTATTCTCTCTTCCCCATCTAAAACTTAACTCTTTTCTTCACTGTCTTTGATGGCTTTATCATGCCTTCTTCATGTTGATTGTCTCTCTCTCTCTCTCTCTCTCTCTCTCTGGGAAAAAGGAGTAATCTGTATGTCTCATCCAGGTAGTAAAAGAGTTGAAGTCTTGGAAAGCTGCAGATGTTCATGGTGTCAGGTTTCAGTCCAGCAGCAGAAACTACAAACCAGGCCAGGCTGGCGGCCGGCTCCGTTTCTCCCCTCCCCGCCCTCTGCGGCCTTGTCCGGCCTGGAGAGGGGGAGGAGGCCGAGACAGAGCCTGTTACCTCTTCAGAAGCCAGAAACCAAAGAGAACAAGAGAGCCTTGGCTTTACATCTTAAGGTGGTGTCCACAAGTTGATCTCACTTTTCAATGGTCAAAACTGCTGTCAATTCTTAGAAATGATCAATAATTGGTCACAGGAAAAGACTCCCATCAGCCTTTCGCAACTTCAACTTCCTCCCAGCTCCCGAAGCTATCTTAAAGGTAAAGTCACCCCATGACATTAGTCTATAAGAAAGACAGTTTGAGGTGGAGTTATTCTTTCTTCAGTGTTGTTTTTCTCTGTTTTAATTTATAGATCTTCTTTTCACAATGAGAAAAAACAAACAAACCCCAAAAATTACTTCCTCACAATACTCTTGTAAGCATAAAATTCAAGGTTAATATCCTGGGGCACTGTCCATGTGGTAGAAATCCCAGCTGTACCTATGACAGCTGACTCTTTACAACACAGGTGTGCACAGATTTGTGAGTATGGTGATGTAAGCCTGCACTGAAAAGGTTACAGGTTACCTCAGCCATGCTTCAAAACCTTGTCAATGCCTATCATAGATGGAAAGTTGATCCCAACTTGACTTTTACTTCTGGAAAATTGAGATAAAGTAAAATACAAAAGGTCTGGTGGGCCGATGCAATGAGTCCAGAATAAAAACACTCTTGAATTATGGAAATGCCTGTTCTACTATGCCAGCTATCTTTTATAAGCTTGAAAGTCCCTGAGCTAAGGAGTTTATCAGTTTATAAATCTATTAAAAAACCCCACTCTGCAGTTCAGAAGTAAAAGTTAGGCTGCAATCCTTCTCTTCTTTCCATTCTGTGAATGCTATTGCCTGGCAAATGTGCTGCTTTTGACTGCAGTAGGGATAGTTTTCCTCACAAATGTTAGTATGGGTTATGTTTTAGGTTTGTGCTGAAAATAGTGTTAATAACACAGAGGTGCTTCTGTTACTGCTGAACAGTGTTTACACAGAACCAAGCATTTCCTGCTCTGCACCCCACCAGTGAGAAGGCTGGGGGGGCACCAGGAGTGGGAGGGGACACAGCTGGGATATCTGACCCCAAATGATCCAAGACCATATGGCAGCATATCAAGCTCAACAGTGTTATTGGCAGAATGGGAGCTTCAGACAAACTTTATGAGAGAGGGTAAAGCCCTCCTGTTACCAAAACCCAAAATTGTAAGGATAAACAAGACTCCCTAACACAGTCTTTCTAATGTTGTAACACAAGTAAGGCGCTACCATATTTTTGGCCAAGGTGTGTGTGTGGCTGGAAAGGTTCCACCTGCCACACAGACACTGATACAAAACTTTTTCACTTATTTATAAACTTTTAGCAAACAAATTAATGTTCAAGTTACATAATCCTAAATAACATAATCCTCTTCATTAACTAGTATTCTATTCTCTATTGGTTATTGATCTCACTCTTGATGCTAATTTGATCCACATTCTTTAGTCCTTTTGTTATCTTTTGCTCAGATATGAGGCTCCAGCTTTCCAGGCCTTAATCTCCTCTGTATCTTCTGGTTTCTCCAACAGCCTTGAAGGGTCATAAATTTAAGATCCCAGATTTACAATTTTCACATGCCTTTGGCTTTGTTTATTGAAGCTTGTCAAGGTTAGTTTTAACAAACTTACGGTTTTCATAATTTAATGATCAAAGTAACAAAAAGAGTCCATGAAGAAACTTAATAATGTGCTGGCTAAAAGTGGGCACTGCTTTCATTTTATTAAAGCAACTAACTAAAAATTAGTTAGGAAAGTTGTGTAATTTCCAACATTCCCATTAAGTCACAAGATATGGAAAGGACCCATTTGCTTTCTAAACTTCTCAACGACTTTGTCAATGGTTTATATCTAAAGGATTATACAAGCATAATTGAACCTGTACACAACTTTGTCTTGCACAATTAAGAATGGCATTTTAGATATATTTATATAAATATGTATGATTTATAAGGATAATGATTAGACAAAAATATTTTAATCAGAAGTATTTACTACACAGTGTAGGAGCTGTAACTATTATATTGAACTATTTTGAAACACTATCAAAGCAATTATATTAAAGCAATTGTATTAAAGTTAGCAAAACAATTATTAACTAGACATGACAATGCCCATGGGCTAATCTTTCTCTTAGCTTCCAGGTAAGAGGAGTTATCATGAGGGATGACCACACTCAAGGGACAAATCTCTTTACATATGCTTCAAGAAGGCTTATGTCAGAAGACCCTGCCTTTAAAATTTGGGACTGGGCTTTTACAGTTCAGTGTAGTCAGTCATAGTGTTAGTCATATGACCCCAGGCCAGATGTGTCAGCAACTTTGGGTAAGTTACCAATAGTATCACTTGTTTGTTCCTTTATGCAGATATTATAACAAGGTCAGGATGTTTCACTTTGGGACTTATGAATCTGAGTGGTTTCAGCATTATTCATCACAAAAAGCAGCATGATGCCCCCTTCTTTAATTTAATTTAATGATGATAGCTTTACCTATTGTAACTATCCTACCTAACTGTCTTTATCTCAACTTACAACCTTTCTCACTTTTACTCTTCTGATCCTCTACCTCATCCCACTGGGGGAGGGTGAGTAAGCAGTTCTGTGGGGATAATTCCCAGTCAGGGTTAAATCATGACAGTTTAGGCTGGCATTTCATCTGTTTGGGAATATTCTAGCATTTCACACATATATACGTATAATATGTTCTTTCAAACCCTTCAAGGCATAGATATCACTTTGAATTCCCTTATATTAATATATACATATATATATAAATACCATGGTTGACTTACAGGTAAAAATTTGTCCTCATCAATACAGCTTGCGGAGCCCCATGCTGGTGTGAGTCAAGGATGCACCTGCTTCTGCATGAGCCTGGGTATATTGATCAGACTCACACCTGAGGCACTGGTGTCTTTGGACACCTGTTGGCCAGAGGCTGCTCTAGACAACAGCTTCTGCAGAAATTTGTGTTTCTACTAGAGCAGGGTTCAAATTATTGAGAACAACTTCTTGAAGATGAAGAAAGCACCCACAAGCAGGCATGCCCCATGTGGGAATGCGGGGCAAACATAAGAGAACACAAGCACCTCTCCTTCACTGTAAGGATTCTCCAGCAGCCATCTTCCAAGCAGGAGACTATCATTACCTTAGCAGAGATTTTGGTGGAACAAACCTATTCACCTTACTTAAATACAGCATTATTTTATTATTATTAGTGTTATTCAAGCCTCAGCTTATTCTAGAAGCATAAAATATCTCAAAAGCATTTTGTTAATTTATGTTTAAGCTAAGAGGTCTCTTGCCATTAGCAAAGAAATTGAGATCTATCAAGTGAGAAACAGCCATAACACCCCTTAATAATAACATGAGTTCAGTGCATAAAAGCACAGAACAAAACCTTTCTGCACACCTTTTGAAGTAATTTTTTCTGTGTTAAGTGCAAAGCTTCTAAAACAATAGGCATACCTCACACCAGCTCTCACAATACAAAATAGTTGCATTAATATAATAATGATTTTATTTTAAAAAGTACATCTAAGCTGACAAACACTGAGCTGTGGTTCAGTGATAAACCCTAGGAAATAGGGTTTATAATGGAAACACTGACAGATTTCCTGCCCTTACAGCATTATCCTTATCTATTGCATTCCACATTAAGAGCACATATCACCTGATAAATACATAGCATGTTAAATCTGATAAAACTTTTACTGAATCAAACAGACAAGGAGTTGAACATGATAAACAAGCTCCTGTATCTGATCCATCAGTTTCAGAAATAGATAAGTAAACAACTAAAATTGATACAGTACATCACTGTCAGGTGATTAAGGTCACCCATTGGGAATTGCCATTCTCTGACTAAAAAGCTATTGTTGAAAAATCTGTCCAGAAGCTTTTATTTATCTATTTTTAATTGTGTCCACAAGTCTTTAACGAAAACTGATTAATGCAACAACACTCCTATACAACAGTACTCAAAAGAGTGTGCAGCTACCTGCTTTAATATCATTGTCAGTGTGGACACTCCCCTTATGCAGAAATGTGTACTCATTTTAGTTCATAAGTATATACTAAGTATTTTTTCAAGAATGACTCAGAAAGTGAAATCTTGAATGATCAGGATCATATTTGGCCAAGGGAAAAATGGAGTAAAAATTATTTGATTACATTTTTGACAGTAAAAACCTCAAGATTTTCCTGCTGGAAAAAACCTATTTTAGCAGGTCAGTTTTGCAGAAGTGTGAAAAGCTGCAGTGAGAAAAGAACAGAACAGGAGGCTACAGAAGATGTGTTGTCAAGCATGATCCAGAAAGGTGAGTAGATTAGCTTCTGCAAGAAAGAACAGCGTGCTGATTAGGTGCCATGTGAGGCTGAACTGTTGGCTGCAGGAGTTAATATTTTATGGGAACCTTCTAAACCTGTTCAGTATGTAACTGGCTTCATGTATTCCTCTGCTCTCAATTTTTTCTAAATGCATTTCTCAAGTGCACTTGAATGAGCCACTGCCTTTAGCTAGTAGCAGGATCAAATTAGAATGCTCTACCTAGCTGTACATATCATTTCTGCAAACCAGCTTGTACTTTAAATACCTATAGTCTATCCATACATTTTTCATACATCACAATCATGATCTTTCCTGTTCATTGGTGTTCAGAGCCAGTAAATTGTCATTTTGTTGTATGTCAATCAGATAGTAGGACATCCAGGATCTTGTCTTGGACTCTGGTCAGTGACTGGTCCCCAGAGGAAGGTACAAGGGTGGGGAGGGGAGGGGAACTGGCAAAATTGAAAAAAAAGGACATGGATGCAAAAAGTGGATACACAAATGAATGCACAAACTAGTAAAAGCTATAAAAAAAATGGAAAAGAAAATTTCATCCCTGATATACTTACACCAAGATTTTTACATTCCACCTTTAAAGAGATAAATCCTCCATATAAACAGAGGGCAGCATACACATGCTATATTTTAGCACATGCAAATTTATCATGATTCCTTCCCCAGGGAACCTATGTCAAAATGTTCAATGCCTGGCTTGTGCTGTGCATGTATAGATCTTAGATGCATGAGCATGCCTTTATGTCCATGTATGATTTGTATGTGCATAGATAAATAAATAAAAATGTGTGCTTATTTGCACACACACACACACACACACACACAACACATACACATATATGTATATACATGGCACCTTTGGAAGACTGAAGCTATTCCTGTGCTGAAGTTCTTCATGTCTGTCTCTGCCAGACATCTGTCACTTACAGTGGTCTACTTTATGCCAGACCTGGTCACCTGGCTGGCCTCTAGGAAGCATACTCAGGGACTGGGGCTTCTGGATCTGGCAGTACTTGGCATCTTTGACTTAGTCCATGCATCCAGAAAATGCCCCAGTCACTTCTGCCCTTAGTGCCTCAGCAGCTCAAGTGGTGCTCTCTCTCTGGGAGTTTTGGGATGGCCAGGCCACATCTCTTCAGGTGCAGCTGCATTTACTCTTCAGTCAGGCTTATTCCACTTATGCTGCCTGACAAGTGAACATTATCCTTCATTTGAAAAGGAGACCTGGGAGGAAAAAAAAGTCTTCCCTTAGATGTCACATGGCAGTGTTATGGGACATACCAACAGGTACAGCTGAGAAGAAATGTAGGCAGGACAAGCCCCATCAGCTGTAAATATGTAGGTGCAGGAATAGCCCCTCACATCTGAGAGTGAAATAGATCAATGGCCACAACTATTTATGAAATATTTTCAAAATTTTACATGTCTGCTGGGACTTCCATATTTTTTTGTCTTGGTGTCTATAAGTAGCTAAAGTCAATCCAACAGATAGAGCTGGTCTCATTGGAGTCACAATACGGTGCTAAACAGAGATAAACAAGCCTCTTTCTTGAAATACTAATTTTTCTTATTGACAAGGAAAACATTTTTAAATAGTATTTGAGAAGAAAAGTCAATAATAAAACAGATGTTTGGTACATAAAGGTAGAGAACCCCAGAATTTACACACAGTCAAACATCGTTTACCACAGGTCTCACTGCATGATCAGAGGCATCCATAATGGTTTCATTCTTGCGAATGAAATGCGACACCTAGTGCTTTAAGACAGCTATCTATTAGAAAGGAAAATAGGCTAGACTTCTTGGTGAATTTTTGTAATTAAAATTACATTACATGAGAACAGTACGCATTACATGAGAACAGTATAACTAGATTGATGTCATTTTAATGAAAGCTTCTAGTGTTATTTTACTGTGAAATAATTCTGGATTTCCCTGCCTCTGAATGCTGAATTCAAAGGAAGAAAAATACTGTTGATGGAACTAATGAGAGATGAGATAATTTTAAATACTTAGTGAACTGAGACACATTGTTTTTAAAATCTAGTTTTAATCTGTATTATTTACCACAGACCTATTACAGTCAATCATGTCATTGTGCTGCCATATAGACACACTAAATCCATACACTATATTCCTTGTGATCTTTTTTAGATGATTGCTTATGTATAACAATTGTTTTTCAAACACAAAATAATTCATATGATATTTTTTCCTTATGTTTAGAGAACATTGCTGAGTCTGAATTACAGGCATCTGAATATAGAAAGATAATGACAAGATATATTAGGAGCAATGAGATAATATAACAGTAATTCAGTCAGTTATACTCTTCACTGTATTTCACAACAAAGTCATGTTGATCTATTTAATCTATATTTTTTTTTCCTTTTTTTTCAGTTTGTTGTTTATAATGCAGTAAGTCCAAATGGTGATCTAAGGCTGAATGTGCTATGCAGAAAATTTTGTCAGGGCTGGAAGTCCATGGTCCATCTCCTGTTAGCCCTGGGGCAGCTTTACACTGGCCTTTACCTGCCCAGATGTTTCCAGGATAAGCAGCTGTGTTCTGGTGTACTGGTTACAGAAAACACTTGCACTTTCACTGCCACCAATGAGAAAACAGAAATTATGGTACTTGCATGTGCATCTATCTAATAATGACATCAAAACACATAGAGAAGATGAGGGGAGAGGAAGGAAAGACACGGATATTTACATGGAAAATATTTAAGAATGCAGGTAAAAAGAATACAAAGTGTGGTAAACACAACAGCTTTGAAGGCTAGAAATGTCTGTGCATCACTCAGATAAGCATTGCAATGCAGTCTCTGTACAGAACTTGACATTCAGAGGGACTTACCATCATATTTCCATCTTCCTCGACACAGGTGGTAGAGGAAAAGCTTTTCATTAGCTTACAGAGGATCTGAATGAGAAGTTGTTTAAATTATCCAAAAATTGGACTGAGAGGAAAATGACAACTTAGATTGGAGAGACTTGTCTTCTAGTTCAAAATCATCAGCTAAAAATTCCTCTGGAACTATGTCCTTAGGCTACGGCAGTCACCCATATCAGTCACCT